GAAACCCTGTCTCTACTAAAAAATACAAAAAACTAGCTGGGCGAGGTGACGGGTGCCTGTAGTCCCAGCTACATGGGAGGCTGAGGCAGGAGAATGGCATAAACCCAGGAGGCGGAGCTTGCAGTGAGCTGAGATCTGGCCACTGCACTCCAGCCTGGGTGACAGAGCAAGACTTCATCTCAAAAATAAAAAAAATTAAAAAAAAATAAAGTATTGGAGAAACTATACCTCTTTCCCTGCTACCTGGTTCAAGAAATAGTGCCTGAGATTTCTTTAAAAAAAAAATAGAAAGTTATCCTAATAAATGTAATTGTTGTGAACAGATACACTGCATTATCTAATACAGTTTTCATGACCAGCTCCATTTTACAGATAAGAAAACACATGGAAGCACAGAGATTGCAGTAGCTTGCTTGTGATCACACAGCTAAGAAATAGCCTGAGGGTCCATGCCCTCTGATGTGGAGTCACCACATCAGACTGACTCCAGAGGGCACTGCTGTTTCAGAGGCAGCACCAAATGAAAAGACAGAAGATGTTTTTGAGCAAATAAATGCAGTGTGTGTGGGTTGGGTGAGTTTTCCAAAGGTTACCTTTGCAGTTTTGGAATGCAAGATCACATTAGAAAGCTAGTGAAACCTGGAGAAAAACACTCAACAAACCGTGACTCTGCAGAACAATCTTGTGACATCTAGAGAGCTCTGTGCCCACTAGTACAGAATGTGAAGTAAGTGCACACAGGATTAAACAAAATCAGAGCAGGTTGGCTCTTGCACATTGCGCTGTCAGTGGACACTATTAATGAGCCCTTGGTGATCTGAAAATAGAGCCATACCAGAGGCATATGAACTGTGCATGGACTAAGTTTTTTCTTCTGTCTCCCCTATTGAGTTCTAACCTTGTGGTATGTGAAGGTGTCTCTGGTGTCTACCTCTATTAGTGGGACCAGTGTGTGTGAGGGAAGCTTGTTGAGCCTCTGCTTGATTTTTAAACCCCACTGAGCTGTCACCTTTGAGGAGGAAAAACATCCAGCATAGTGTTCGCAAAGTGTGAGGAGCCCCAGGGGTGTGTGTGGCGGGTGGGTGATGCATGTGGAGATGGTGGTAAGGCACAGGAAGAGCTTCAAGGGTGACAACAAATAAAGTCAAGCAAAGAATACACAATGTGTTTCAGGGAGAACACTTGGATTTACCAAGTAGCAGAAGTGGGAGCAGACTAGGAAGTATATCTTAAGGACCTGAGGCCAGGAGCAACCTGTGATCCCTGTGGTTGAAGGGAGCAGCAGGAACAGTTCTGTGGGCAGGGCTACAACAACAATACCCCATGTATGATGCAAGGACCTCCACGTAGGAAAGGCCTTTTCTGAGCTTTGGTTACCTGGGAATCCCAAAACCATTCTCCTCTTGCTTCTCAAGTGTAAAACTCATTTTGAAAAAGCAGCCATACAAAGTTGTATTTTTATTATTATTATTTTTTGCCTCTTTGAGCTAAATTTATGTACTTTGGAATTACTAAAATAGGGGATGTCATGCTGGGATTGATCCATTCTGCAAGCCAAATACTCATTTTTCAGAGTTTCTTTGGCCTAAAATTCTATTAAAATCCAAGGATGAAAGAGGACTTGGAAAAATTATGGCCCTCAAAGAAATTTTCTGTCTGGTGAGGGAGACAGAGACGTGTACCATCAACTGTGGTACAAGGTAGACTTCAGTGAGAGCTGTGATCAAAGTACAGGGAGTAACGAGAAAAGAGGCAGTAAGATTAACTCTTGCTCAAGGGATTTGAGAACGTTGTTTTCTTACCTGTTTCATTTCTTCATTCTTTTCCTCCAACTGCCTAAATGTGGATATTCCAAAATTCTGCCTTTTCTTTCTTGTGTATTGACTCTGGTGGGAATCCTGACTATTCTCCTGGCTTCTCTTTTGATCTCTTTGCTTTTTAAAATTTTTTATTGTGGTAAATAACGTGTAATGTGAGATCTACCCTCCTGAAAGTTGTGTCTGGGAAAGTATTGTTAACTGTAAGCACAGTTGTACAGCAGATCTCTGGAACTTTTTCATCTTGCATGAATGAAACTCTGTACCCGTTGAATGGCAACTCTCTGTCTCCCGCTTTCTCCTACGCCTAGTAACCATCGTTCTGCTTTCTGTTTCTAAGATTTTGACTACTCTAGATAGCACATGTAAGTGGCATCATAAAGTATTTGTCTTTTTGTGACCGACTGATTTCACTTGGCATAATATCCTTCGGGCTCATCCATGGGTTACATACTGCAGAATTTCCTTCTTTAATATGGCTGAATAATATTGATTGAATATATGTACCACATTTTGTTTGTTCATCCATCGATGCATACTTAGGTTGTTTCCATATGTTGGCTCTTGGGAATAATGGTGCAGTGAACGTGGGAGTGCAAATATCTCTTCAAGACCCTGACTTGCAGTCCTTTTGGATAGATACCCAGAAGTGGGATTGCTGAGCTATATGGTAGTTCTGCTTTTAATTTGTTGAGGAACCCGTATACTCTTTTCTTTAATGGGTGCATTATTTTACATCCCCACCAGCAGTGTACAAGGGTTCTAATTTCTCCACATCCTTGCCAACATTTGTGGTTTTCTATTTTTTGGATATTGGACATCCTCGTGAGTGTGGGGTGATGTTTCATTGAAGTTTTTATTCGTATTTCCCTGATGATCAGTGATGTTGAGTATATTTTCATATGCCTGTTGGCCATTTGTATGTCTTCTTTGGACAAATGTATATTTAAGTCTTTTTTGTTTTTGAGACAGAGTCTCACTCTGTTGCCCAGGCTGGAGTTCTGTGGTGTGATAGCTCTACCTCCTGGGTTCATGCCATTCTCCTGCCTCAGTCTCCTGAGTAGATGGGACTATAGGCACCTGCCACCACACCTGGCTAATATTTTGTATTTTTAGTAGGGACGAGATTTCACCGTGTTAGCCAGGATGATCTCTATCTCCTGACCTCATGATCCACCCGCCTCGGCCTCCCAAAGTGCTGGGATTACAAGCATGAGCAACCGTGCCCAGCCTGTTTAAGTCTTTTGCCCAGTTTTTAATTGGGTTATTTGGTTTTTTGCTATTGTGTTCTAGGGGGTCTCTGTGCCTTTGACCCCAAATCTCCATGCCTGTACCTGGTGAACTCTACATTCATGTCTTCTGCTACTCCTCAGCTTAATCCTTCTGTCCCAGCAAGTAAACTGCTCCCCACTTCCTACTCCCTCGCTCGGCTCTTGCCACCCTTCTTTTGGTTTCTGAAAGATATTTAGACCCAACTCTGACACATCGTAAAAATCCAGGTCAAGTTGAGTTTTCCATGAATTCTTCCCTGACCACCCAGCGTTTGCTCTCCCGCTGCTGAGGTCTCTAGTATTTGTCTCTGTTGCTTTTGAGGCATTTGGCAGAGACTGCTGCTGCGCATTGGAATGGATATTACATGTGGATATATTTTGTACTAACTGAACTGCCACCTCATGAAGGGAAGAGACTGTGTGTCCTCCAGAGGACCTTACAGAGCACGTTGTCATACTGTAAAGAGGCAGGAATCCTTAGAAAGGTGTGCGCATTGTGTGTTCTAGGTATGGAAGACAGAACTGAACTTCAAGCCTGACGGTGCTCTGGCAACAGAAAGAGGACACAAGGGAGTAAAGTCCAAATTCACAGTCCACTGTCAATGAGCTGGACGGGGCAGGGAGGAAAGACAAAAGTCAGTGACTAGGATCTCTTTAGCAAGTTGGAATTGAAATAGACAAGCAGGTTTACAGGGGAAGGTCATTACTATAATCTGAGGCATGCTTTGCTGGATTTTGGCAGGCAGGGGTGACCGGTGTATGCTGGGAGCCAGAGAGAAGCTGAGTTCACCTCACAGTTCTGTAGGTAGTCAGAATATCTGCTGATAGCGGGGGCCAGCCGTACTAGCAGTCTGATCTTCTCTACTCTGAACACCCTGTTCCAGAGAATTCATGGCTTCCAACCCTGGTATATCTTGTCAGCAATGCTGTATGAATGGTTAGTCCACGACTAAGCTATAGGTCACCCAGAAGCCCCCAGGACAGCTGTCAGGAGGCCAGGACTCAGTACAAGGAGGCCACAGGGCGGACCACTGGGTTGCATATGTAATGTGGCTCTTGTGCTAACACTGGTACCCCATGTTTCTTGCCAGAGGCTGGAGTACCATTCCCTCATGGAGGTCCTTCACCTAGTGACCTTTATGGCCATCTTCATGGGAATCCCCACACACCCTTCCTGCAGTTGGGTTTTTACAGCCTCCAGGACCCTGCCTCCCACCCTGAGCTTCAGCATTCTGTCCTGATAATGTCATAGCCAGTTCTGGTTTTCGTGTTACTTGTGAGGGTTCTAGCTAGAGGACTAGTTGTGGGTCCCCATCTTGTACCTTTGGAATGTCCCTGAGTAGGTCAAAGCCTACTCTCACATGAATCTGGGGAAGCCCGGCAGCCTGGCCTTGCCTGTCCAATGGGAGGGGAAATGAGGAGGGAGTAGGCTGTCTGAACTGCTTGGTATGCCTGACAGTGGACTCGCTTTCTGCTCACTGACCCTGAGAACAGCTCTGTCCTTTATGGCTCCTCCTTGACCCTCTCCCGCCCTCCAACTGTCATTATCCTGGGGCATTGATTTCCAAACCTGACAGGTATGGAGAATCACCAGGATACTAAAAAAAGAGGGCCCTATCTATCTCCGGAGATTCTCTTTATTTAACTAGTTATGAATGAGGCCTGGGAATCTGGCACTTTTGTACAGATATATGTAAAGTATCTATTGGAAGGATGAATAAGGACTTAACTGAGTTGCTGAGTAAGTTTTATTTCCTTTTTTGTCCAGCTCTGTGCTTTTTGGCTATTAATGGTCACAAATTGTTTTTAGAAATCAGAGAAAGAATAGATGTCATTACAAAACAAAAAACACATCCTGAAATGATCTTTCAGAAACAATTAATCCTCTTAAATTTGTTCCTCTTTTCCGCAGGGGGACTTGATCTCATCTTCATGCCAGGCCTTGGGTTTGACAAACATGGCAACCGACTGGGGAGGGGCAAGGGCTACTATGATACCTACTTGAAGCGCTGTTTGCAGCATCAGGAAGTGAAGCCCTACACCCTAGCGCTGGCTTTCAAAGAACAGATTTGCCTCCAGGTCCCAGTGAATGAAAACGACATGAAGGTAGATGAAGTCCTTTACGAAGACTCATCAGCATCTTAAATCTGGATTACTACAGCCGAATAATCAGTGTTTTATATGAGAGTAAAGCAAAGTATGTGTATTTTTCCCATGTCAAAAATTAGTTGAAATTGTACAACTAATTTTTGTGAATACAGACTGCATTTTAAAATTGTAATTATAAAATACCTTATATAAAACTATCTTTAAAAACCAATAGAAGTGTGACTAGTAGAATATTAATTGAAATGGAGGCTATCAGCCTATGATTTTCAGCTTAACCTCCTGGTGTTAATGTGACAAGTTGATCTGTCTACTTTGCAACTTAAGTTAAATATTTATGAGGAACTGTGCTCCGACTGAGTGTGAGAGGAAGGTAAGCTCACTGGGAGTGGACACTGTATTTCATTATGTCCTGTCGTGACCTGGTCAGTCCTGGCAGGTGCATGGAGACTTGGGGACTATTAATTGATTTGTTGGTATTTGCTTTGGATACAGAATTCCCTAAGAATATTATCTCACTTCATCATGACTTCCTTTACTCACTCTAGAATTTTATGTTGGACACTTTGTAGCTTTTAGTGGTTAGTAGAGGGAAACCTTTTATGATTTAAATACTTTCACTCTACTTATTGGTTACCATCACTGCATGTATCAGCACCTGATGAGTTTAAGATCTGGTATCTTATAAGTTAGAAATTATTTCTGTTTACTCATGGTTTCTGCTTTGGAAATGAAATTTGCTGTGGGTTGAAAGTTGGCAGATGGCACCACAGCTAGGGAGCAATAATTTTGTTGTGGGGATGATTTGGTCATCCTCAGAAACCCAGGAGTCTTAATAGACACAGCTCTCTTACTCACACCCCATGTCCATCCTGTCACCAGGTCTTGTTGATTTTGCCTCTGAAATGCCTCTTAAATCTATTCTCTCCTTTCAATTGTCCTGTCACTGTTTTTGTCCAGCCTTTTAGCATTTCTAAGCTGGACTAGGCAAGAGTGTCACACCTGCTTCCCTTGCCTTCCATCTTGCCTCTTCCAGTTTATTTCTCAAGCTGTGGTCAAACTGATCTTAGAAAACACAAATCTAATCGTGCAGCACCCCTGACTAAGGTCTTTCAGTGGCTGTTCAGAGCCTCCTGCGTAGCAAACAGATGGCTTCTGTTGTATACAAAGCTCCTTAAGAGAGGTCTCCTCATCTACTTTTTCTAGCCTCTTGTCTCCCCACTCTCATCTTCTCCTTCTGTAACACTGAGCACTGCAGGCTTCTTCTGCCCTTTGCACATTGTAAGCATGCATTTCTCTCTGAAATGCTCTTTCTTTTGTTCATCTAGAAGGCTGTTTACCCTTAAAAACTCAGCCATAGCATCACCTCTGCTGTGAAGTCCTCTGCTACTTTCCCAAGCAGAGTGAGTGTTCTTTCCCTTGTCTGAATGGCCCTGGCCATTGATCTGCTTATCATGTTGTCTTACGTATCAAATTATTTGTTGTCATATCTGTCCCCTTTACCGTACTGTGAGCTCCAAAGAAGAGAAGTGATCTTTATACTTCTTATGCTTAGTAGACAACTAGACATATAGTGTGCGTGTGTGATAATTTTTTAATGAAATAATTGAATACATTGGAAGTGTTTCATTCAAAACATTCATTATTCTTTGGATAATAGCATAGATTTGATGTTTTATGTGCAAAAGTAAAAACATTTGAAAAATACATTTGAAAAACCCATATTAGGCTAAATAGGGATTTGTACAATATAATATGTACGATGAGAAATGGGAAGGAAACCGAATTCTTACAAGCTATGAAGTCACATTATTGTACTGGTTAAAAATATTGGTAAGTATTATTTTGACTATAAGGTTACAATGAATGTTAATGTAGCTGACATGACTGTTAGTCTGAAATGGTTGAGCAGTAAAATTCCTGACCTGCTGCAGGTCTAGAAAGTTTAGTATTGTTGAACTCAGTCTATGTTATTCTTCTATTAAACGAGAGCATTTAAAAACCACTCTACCAGCTCCTCAAGTGTGGACAGAATGCCGAGTTAACTGGCCAGAAAATGCAGGGTGCTGAGATTCAAGAAAGTCAGAGGGCCATAGGGTCTCTGGCCTGGAAAGAGAAGCACTCCCTCGTGATCAGTAATGCACAATATTTGTGCAGAGGGTATTGGAAGGGATAAAATGCCCCTATGATGCAGGTGATGACAACACTGTAACTCTGATTAGGGCATACACAGAGGCTGAAGACAAGGCCTTAGACTCAGGAGGCAAGCACTTCAGTACAGGCTAACATGAAGCAAGAATGGTGAGCGTCTCAGATGAGGGGATAATCTGAGTAGAAGAGAAATAGCAACTAGATCTGAACAAAAACAGTTTCAAGTATTGGGAAATTGGAACTATATCAGTGCCCCAACATAGGTCTGTGCTTGCTGTATATACTACAGAACTGTGCTTAATTTAATTAGAAAGTAAACTATATAAAGTTCTAGTCAAGAGCATTACACATTTAATCACAAAGTCTTACTAACTAGGAGATTGATAAATGTGTCTAGGCATGAGTGTCTTACTACAGAAGCTCAGTTCTTGGTCGCAGGTTTTTTTTTTTTTTCCCCTACAGAGATCATTGAAATTCAGTTGATCACACTGCTCTTTAGTCATATGTTTACATGCTTAATTTCTCCACTACCCTACGATCTCCTCAAAGGCAAATTCTCTGCCAAGTTCATGGTTTATTCCAGTATCTACCACAGACATGCAAAATAAAGAGCCAATAAATTATTTTTTTTAATTGTTCCAGCAGCATTTATTGAATATGTAACTTTATGTCTGTTATAGATTAAGTTCTCCAATATATGTGAATCTGTTTGCTGGCTTATTCATTGTCCCTTTGCTATGTTTTTCTGTCTCAGCACTAGTCCCAGATTGCTTTAGTTCTCACAGTTTTAAGTCTTGGTGGCTACGAGGGTAAGCCTCCTTCCTAATTCTTCTTCAGGAATGTCGAAGAGCCAATAAATTCCTGATGAAGGAATGAACCAGTTTGAATATTGGCCTGTCTGTGCTGTGCACTTGCTCGTTGTTATGTTGGTTGCTGTTTGCTGCTGAGATTCTATCCCCTTGGCATTGTCTCAGGCTTGGATTATTCCAGAACAAGTTTTCTATTACTGCGTTGCGTTGTGTTGGGCAGTCCATATATGTGTGTCGCATTGTCTGTGCTACTTTTCCTTCTTAGTGCTCTCTTGTTTGCTTTTTATGGTTATCTTCTTCCCTATTCCTGGATGGTCATAGACCTCCTGCCCTTTAATGGTAGTTTCCAATACCTATAAGCACCCACCCCAAATATGTTTATTTATATGCTTAAAGTAATAATAAATTTTTCTGAGTAATAACATACACATAAAATATACACACAAGAAGTATGAGATAATGTTGACATAGTATATATGATATATAATTTATAATATACTTGTTTATATATATTTTATACATATATAAATAAGTATAATATACTCATTTTTAAAAACAGCAATATGATCAAGAGCAGCATGAGATGATGTTGAAGTAGAATATATTATATATAATTTATAATGAACTTTTTAAAAAAGCAATGTTTTTTAAATAAAATTCTTTGGACATTTACTATTTTTGAAAACCTTATTTTAACACCTTTTGAATGATTCAAAATTCTGGTTCTGATTTCAGTTTATTTCAATATTTGGTCTTAAGGGCTATTAGAGCTGAAAAAGATACCTTCTAGAGAAGCAGATTCAGATGGAAGGAAAACTATACCTACTAAAATTTTCAATCCTGTTTACCAATTTTCCAAAGATAAATTTTTTTAAATTTAAATCTGGCTGGTAAATATCCATTTTCTCGATGTGAATATGTAGTTTTTGCATGTTAATCAGAAGGTGCTGCACATTTACTTTGTTAATAAGTGGGGGCTAGAGCTCGAGGTTACAGTGAGCTGTGATTGCGGCACTGAACTCCAGCCTGGGTGACAGGGCAAGACCCCAAACAACAACAAAAACACATAAAAAACAAATAGGTTCGAAGCTTTTTGAAATTCTTTCAAAGATTTTAAATCAAGTTAGAAAAGTTCTGCTTACAAGATATTTAGTTGTGTAGATGTGAAAGTGTTTGTAGATGTCACACTATTAATAGGTTTTGACAACACAGTCATGTAATGATGAAAATATTTCCAAATAGCCATTTTTATATGCACTCTCCATACTACGAGTCTCTGAAAGTAGTTACTTTCTGTCCCAGTGATGAAATATAACTTTCACTCTGAAAATTCAAATGAGATGTATTTATTACTTTGAAGTTTACTAGTGGCCATTTACAATCTCAGAAAGGTCAGAAAATGTGGAATACTTGCTCTTTGTGCAAAAAATACACATAAAACTAATATTTAAGTTTATAGCTTTATTTACTTATTTATTTTTTGAGACAAGAGCCTCTCTGTGTCCCCCCCCCCCCAACTGGAGTGCAGTGGTGCAATCTTGGTTCACTGCAACCTTCGCCTCCCGGGTTTAAGCGATTCTCCTGCCTCAGCCTTCCAAGTAGCTGGAACTACAGGTGCCTGCCACCACGCCCAGCTAATTTTTGTACTTTTAGTAGAGACGGGATTTCACTATGTTGGCCAGGCTGGTCTTGAACTCCTGACCTCGTGATCCGCCCGCCTCGGCCTCCCAGAGTGCCGGGATTATAGGCGTGAGCTATCACGCCTGGCCAGTTTACAGCTCTTTTAAAAGTATTTTAGCTTGAGATGATCAGAGAAATTTAAGTGAATCAAAGATTGTTTGTGGGTACTTCCTATTGCATCCCAAAGAGTTGTAAATATTCTACTATATGTTAAAGGTCTTAATTTTATAAACTTCACATCAGTGATACCCTGAGCACATGGGACGTCTTGCCTGTGAATTATTTAGTAATGCTATTGCTCAATTCTTAATGTGGAATCTACCATCTCACATTTATATATATATATATATTTACAGACAGGAATGCAGTCGTGTGATCTTGACTCCCTGCAACCTCCGCCTCCTGGGTTCAGGCAGTTCTCCTACCTCAGCCACCCGTGTAGCCGGGATTACAGGAGTGTGCCATCATACCCAGCTAATTTTTGTATTTTTAGTGGAGATGGAGTTTTGCCGTGTTTCTCAGGCTGGTATTGAGCTCCTGGCCTCAAGTGATCTGCCCACCTCGGCCTTCCAGAGTGCTGGGATTACAAACGTGAGCCACTGTGCCCAGCCCCATCTCAAATTTAAAAAAACATTTCA